TAGGAATTTTCTATTAAAGTACTTGTTAAAAAATTAGACTTTTAAAGTTATTGATCTGATAATCACAAATCATTTAAATAGTCTGCTGTTAGATTCTAAAATAGTAGTTACAAAGGATCTGTAGAGTTTTCCAGGTATTTTCCTTTATAAGTCAGTGTGCTATTTCTGATTACCCAGGGTCAAGATGTTCTATAGGTTAGACTCCTATGAGAAGATTATTTATTGACAGTGGCAAGTTGCCCCACTCAGGAAAATCTGTAATTGTTGTTTAACCTAGGTGCATTGACTGGGATAGCCTTTATTTTTACAAGAAGGAAACTGTTTTCAATCCATTAGCCATGTAATTAGGTCTCACTTAGAAGACAAAAATAATAATATAATTTGACTCAAATTTTAGATGGTTTAAAGAATAAAAATATATGTAAAAATGAAATAAAATAAATAAAATAAAATATAGACATCTAAATAACCTTGCAGAGGTACAGGTACCTTTAAGAATAAAACAAAGGAAGAAATCGCAAAAGGACATGTTGCTATATTTAAGTACATAAAAGTGTCAGCTTTCTGCAAAAAAGGTCACCAGAAACAAAATTTAAAGGGTGACTACGAACTGAGAAAAGTATTTGTGACGTATATGGTAAACAAAGGTGTAATACATAAAACTATAAAGATTGTTTACAAATCAATAAAAAAAGATGGGACATCAGTAGAAAAATGGCCAAAGAGTGCCAGTGGAAAATTCACACACACTGACAAAAGAAGGGAATATATAAATAGTAAATATATATGAAAATTATTCAATGTTACTAATTATAAAAATATATTTAAAAGTACTAATAAGATAACATTTTTCTCTTCTACCAAAATGGCGAAGAGCTGAAGTACTATCTAGAATGTTGTGTACTCATAGACTGCTGGTAACAATTGATATAATACAATTTTGGAGGGTATTTTATTTGTGCAGTAATTCATCAAAAACCTTAAAAATACATATCCCATGTGATCCAATGATTTTAATTTTAGAAAAGCATCATAGAAAATTAAAAGGGGATGTATGCACAAAATATGTACCAAGGGCATTCATTCTCGAATTATAACATCGGATACTTGAGAAACAATGCTTAATATCCAATAGTAAATTATGTAAATCCAAACAGTAGATGATCTTATACAATTATTAAAGCTGTGTTGTCAGAGACATTAATGATTTGAAAAAAATGTTGCTAAGGAAAAAACTAAAGCGGGTTACAAATTATAATTCCAGTTTTTCAGTACAACACATTTAAAAGACCAGGAAGGAAATCCTTCAAGATGCTAATATCATTTATAGTATCACCTCTGAGCGTGGGATTCCTAATGATTTTTATATTCTTCCTGATACTCTTCAGTGTTTTCCAAAATGTTTACAGTAAACATGCATTATTGTTATAATCAGAGTGCGTGCGCGCGCACACGAGATAGAGAGAGGAAGAAGAAAAGTTTTCACGTTTCATGCGGCAATGTTGCTGAATAGTATTGTATGTCAACTATAATTTCATATACATATAGTCACGGGATATGGAGTATAGGGAATAGGGTCAATGGAATTGTAATCGATATATATAATCTTAGAGGGGCAATAGATTGGGGGAGTTATCACTTTGTGAGGGGTGAAATGTATTACTATTACATTGTTTTGTATGCCTGAAAATAAAAGAAAAAATTT